AATACAATCAATGTGTGTATCAAATAAAAGGACATGGAGAGTAGAAGACGACAAGGAAAATGTATTACTTCTCAATTCATTATGGAGGGCATCATGACCTAATGGATTAATATTTTCCTTACAATACCATTGATATGGGTATCACAATAAAGAACTTAGGCAGTAGAATACGAAAAGCTAAGTACGTTAATATTAAATTAACTATAGCGAACGTCACGATATAATGGAGTAAGTTTTCATAACAACACCGTCCTTATAGGTGTCAAATGAAAGGTCTTGGAGGGCAGAATGCGAGAAGCCAAGTGTGTTAATTCTAAATGAATTGTGGTGAACGACATATCATTTTTCTTAACAACACTTTTTAGTCAAGCATAATAACAGGTGAGAGATAAATGTTATCCCACTTACTGTTTCATGACAATAAAAAAAATCATGGGGCACTAAAGATTTTAATGGTGGTGGGTATACGAGATTCGGCCTCAGCCGAATATACCTTTCTCAACTTTTTTCAGTAAATTTTTGAAGAAAAGAAATGATCCTATTTTTACCGGGCACGAGGCTCTTTATGGCTGTAAGAAATTTGATAAACGCTGAAGCTCGACCTGAAAGAAAATCAAAATTAAAAGCTGCAAACGAACTCCACGTGGTTGTGGCCAAGCCTGAAATAGTTAAACAACTGAAACATATCCGAATTGAAAATTTTGCAATATGCTTCCACTAGCCTAGAAATTATACTAGGTATAGATCAGCAGTTTAGCACAAATAATTGCCAAACGAAAACTTTACTTTTCCTATTTGATTGAAATCTGCTAGAACAGCACTCTGAACACTCGCGATGTTAATAACAACCTTTTTATTTGAAAGACAACCTGTCTATGATTCTCAACGCTCACATACCAATAAAGACGTGTGTTATTAATCCTTCTAACCCACCTTCGCATTCAACTGACGTTAAGAGAACAATCAGACTCAGCAATGAGATATATAAAAACTGGAAAAGTTATCCAACTACGATGTTTTCCCTAAGCGTAGAATCATTTTAGAATGCATAGTGTTATCTATGACATGAAGTAAGAAGCGAGAGGCTAATATTCCATTCAAAATTCTTTAGACAAATTTACATGAAATTGAGATCAAACAGAGGCCGCTTAACAGCCGATCGGATTGGATGACACTAAAAATTTACTCTATTCTAATTAATTTGATTATAAGCCTGGCCACAAGTGATACTCAAAGTTCTAGAGTACATTCGTACGGTGAGGACGCGCTTAGCCATTCTAATTAAGTGACTTTTGGAAGACTTTTGACACAAGGGACCATCACACAAATCTGAATGTCCTACAGGTACTCGTAAATGGTCCAAACATTTTCAATAGCGTTCATAGTTGGATCAAAACACGTCAGTGTACAAATTCCATCGAATTATTTCAAAAATAGCAAGATTGAGCACAAGAAAAGAAGAAGAAGAGCACGGTGAGACAAACTTGAATTATTTCAGAATGTTATTACAAATCGATAGGCATAGTAAAAGGAAGGTCTATGTCAAATCCTTTTAGGTCTTGCATATATCCGCAAAAACTTAATACATCCTTGTAGCACAAGTAGTGTAGGCCATAAAAAGCGAGACTGGGCAAGTTATCGCATAATCGCTTTATTCTCACAATGCAATCAAAAATCATAACAATCCAGACTATTACCACTAATTTATGAGGCTCTTCGAAGCGTACAATTTCAATCAATATGGAGAATTTGCAGATATGTGACTTTTCCTATTTCTTTAACTGAGAGCCATTAAAAGCATAACGTTTATTGAGAATAAAGAAAAAAAGGCAAAATTGCAAGCGAAGCTCAACATTATAATTAAGAAATGATACTTCATCAGTATTTTCCAGGACGAACCATAGGTACTGGACCCATTAAAAAAGGGCAGGTTTCATATTAATCATACGTGTGCGAGTCAAGTGCCTTCTTTCGCGCTGATCGCCTGATGACCTAATTAAATGATTGTGATTTAATATTTTTTGATCATAGTAGACAAATTTCGATGATAATAGACAAGTGTATATGACTGTTTCCGAGGTTGATTTGTGAAAATCAATCAAGAAAATATATAACAAGTTGCGATCTCATATATAAGTTTGCAGATTATGAGAGTCTCAAAATATTCGATGGAAGGATCGTTGGACGTGACTAAATCGACAAATTGAATATTTCATGACTATGACATGAATCTGATGACTATAATAGAAGCAAATCGGTCGAGAAATGGTTCGAGAGACTGGGATGAAATTTTGAAAGATTTGCCTCGCAACAGGTGATCCTCCAGTACTGCATGAATAAACGAAGAACTATTATTGTAGTGTTGCTCAACCGATGGAGAGATGGCTAATAAAGTTTCGCAATTCGCCGAAATAACACCTTTTGACAGTGAACAGGTTTTATGGAAGCATACAATGCATGGTGACGAACGCTGATCGAATTGAAAGGCCTTCACTTGGACGCAAAGGCGCCGGGATATAAACCTAGAAGGTTTGGTCCAATATATCAAATGCAAAAGACAAATGCGAATCGCAAGACTTTTCGCAGATCGATCAAACAAATGTACATTGCACAAAAATTTCTGAGTATCCAAAAGCTTACAGAGTTCCCGTTTCAAGGCAACAAAGAATAGATAGATAGAAAGGTAAGCGAAAAGGCTGAAAAAAAAAACACATAATTGTAAGTCAAGTTACAAAAAGTGTTACTGTAAGCAGAGTGATTCCAATAAGGCAAGGCTCTCTAATTAACCGACTCAATGTTCGCGAGTTCGAATCTCAATTCGGCATAGTTTTCTTTGGTCGTAGCTATATGAGTGTTCAATCGATACACTTATAACGTAGCCTCCTCCTCTTTCCTTACTTCTTTCTTTCTGACCATCAACGTGTTACACGAATAGGGGACTAGGGGGGCAATTAAAAAAAAAGAAAATGTTCACATCGCGTTAAAAATATAATGTTGCGAAGCGTATATACGAATAGGGTCAATTTCTTAAATCACACTTAACCTTCAAGTCTTAAAAATTAAGTTTTATAATGTAATCCAAAATAAAAAGAAAAGCACCTACACCTGTTCAAATTATGCCAAACATTTGGTTTTTTACAATATATTTAATAAACATTCGTAAACGCGTAATTGCACGCATTCACACGTAGCTGCATACAAAACTTTATAAACAAAACAATGTAAACAGCAAATCCATGAAAGCACGATGAAAAAGGCTCCGTGAATGTTCATAGCGAACATGAGAGCCATTTGTTTTTTTTTTTTTTTTGAGACGAACTAAATAATAATAAGAATGTTTACAGAGGGGATAACCCGCATAGACACTTGCAAAGCGACTGAAGGGAACGCGAAATCGTGAATGAATCTTCCAATATTTTCCAACAACCATTTAAAAAAAGAGGGAGAGACAGACGGAGAGGCAGAGTGAAGCGTTCACTATTTAGAAGTAAGTTATGAATTAGATGAACGAAGGAATGTATAATAATGGTTTTTTTCAATCGCTGATAGATGAATATGCACTAGTTTTTAGATTGCTTCTATCATATCAAGCGATACGCACCAAAGTAATTCATAATATTTTGTTCATTTTACTTGTCGTCTGTCTACCGTTTATTTTTTAAAACACTCGGGCTTGCAAAAATTGATATTTAATTTAGAAACTTGGCAGAAGAACCTTGACTTCGAAGCTGTTAGCCAGACATAAAAATTGAAAGTAAACCTGGTCTGCTTAACAGTGCCCTTAGCAGGCTAAGACGATAACTTACAAGCTATAGGTAATATTGATCTGAAATCGGAGCCAAAATTAAAAAAGACGTCTAAAGCTTCAATTGTGAAAACGATGGTATGGAAAACAAAAATTCCAAAAGAAATATTGACTTACAATATAACCAACCATATATATATATTGGTTATATATATCTATTCTTTTCAAGAGAAATACACTTCAAAACTCTTTTATTTACAATTACATTACTTGACAGTAGGATTATTCACAATTTATTTGGGCAGTACTCTCGTTCAGTCTCAAATGTTCTTGCCCGAACCACGTAAGTTCATGACTTCATTTTTAATCCGTTAGTCCACTTTTGCACTTGGTTTTTCCCTCTCTAGGGAATTTATTATTTGGGAAAATTAATTATCCGAAATGAGCTGGATTTAGGATTTCCGTAACAGTATGTTGTGTTATATATTTTTCATCGGTAGATAAGAAAAACATATATACTTATCGCAATCAAGATCATCAAAAAGTCCCTTAGGGCTCATCGCACAAGCTCACTATTAACAAAAAGTTTATACACATTATATCTGTATGGTTATCTACTATTCGCCTCGAAACGACCAGACCTTTCCCAGCCAATCTATTTTACAGAATATATTAAATTTGTGAGGAGATGTGTGACACCCAGAAGATTTTAAGATAAACGCACTTTTTGTAATATTGATTGATTCGGCAAATGCTTATAAATTCAGCGGTCCATCTGTCCGGCTGATGTATGTCCATGTGTAGTTGTATTCAAAGTAGAGGTTGCAAATTTTTCCACTTTTTCAACTACTCCTCAAATGACGCTCTATTTTGGAAAGGCGTAACATTCAAGAAAATTGTCATTTTCAAAATGTCTCAGGGAAACTCGCTTTATAATAGTGTTTAGACAATAATAAAAGGTTAAGGAAGCAAACTACGTCTGATAAATTTGAGTGGCATTATATCGAGTTTTGGGCAACCTCCAATCTACGGGCTTTCATGAAAACTTTTCCTCTGCAAGAAAATAATGTGTAAAATCCGATATTTTATTACTAGAACGAGTAACTAATTCTGCCACTTGTACTCGATGTAGGGCACCTAATGACCAGCCTTGCGCGACTACAATTTTCTTATTCGTTTTAATATTAAACTTTATATATGCGAGTGAACATTTTTTTAATATGAATTAAATTTATTAGTCAATTTTCAATTTTCTCATTTACATAAGTATAATTTTTTGTAAATTATTATTCGCATCTACTCATCAAATCGCCAAATACTAAATTTATATATATTATTAGTAATGAAAGTAAACTATTTACAATATGATCTGCCCATTAACTAAAATCTTCAATTAATGTTAATGGGGTTAATTAAAAAGATTTAATAAACCGTTAATGAACGCCAAAGCGTAGTCACTTTCCGAGATGTCGGCGGATTTCTTTTTCTTATGTTTTTTTAAGATTTTCGATTTAGTTTTCACTTTAAGATTCATACTGCTGTTGGCTTTGTTATAAAGTTCGTTAACTTTATTGCTACCTGCCTTTGATGCTGCGGGAATTTGAGCAGCAAGGGTACCCACTTCGTTCTTGCTTTGGGCCACATCCGTTATACGCGAAGACGGTGTGGACAGTGCGGTGACTTCTGCAGGTTTGCTATCATTGTCACTCTCGTCGTCGCTATCATCATCATCGAAAAGACCACCTAAACTAAAACCACCATAGTCAGCGTCAGCCGGTGCTTCTTCATTATCATTGTCATCATCTTCATCTTCCGCATAATCTGCATCAGCATCTGCTTCATCATTTTCCTCTTCATCATAATCATCCTCATCGTCATCTTCGTCGCCGCCAGCTAAAGATATTTTGAAAGGATTGAAAATTGTTATTTTCTTTTAAAAAATATATATATCGATAAACCGTTTACCGTACGTAAACCATTTATTATTATAGCGAGAAATTTTTTCTAAAATTACAATGTTTTATATTTATAGTAAATGTTTTTGGGGCAAATAAAATTTTGAAAAAATTTTATTCAAATAGTAGACAAACATATTACAGGATAATATCTTCAAATGTGAGAACAGAAACGTGGCAATGCAAGCAATTTACTCTTATTCGAAAGGGACAGCCAGAAGAAAGAGTTCAGGAGCTGTTGCGTGACATTAGCGTTGCTTTTATTACGCAGACTGCGATGAATCAATTCATATTGAAAACAAGTCCTAAGAATATTGAAATGATATAGCGCTGTGCCTATCACGTTAATTCCCCGATACAATTCGATCACCTATATAAAACATATACTTCAAAATTTCATTTGAGAAGCGTTCGACTTGGCGTTTCGCTTTTTTTCATGATTCTTATTCACCGGTAAACGCTGAACTGGTAGTATTGAAATTCGCGAAAGACTATAGAAAGACTAGAATTTTACGTGGGATAGCGTGCCCATAATCGAGCATTTGAATGGCGTGTACAATTTGTGGTACCGCTTTAATACTTAATTAAAGTTTAATTTTTTCACTTTGGTTCTTATGTCATGTTTTGTTTATACATTCTTGCAGCTATCACCAAAAGATGAGGATTACTTTCACTTTGTCAACAAGTTTGCGACATCTAGAAGCAAACCTCAGAGACCACCTAATACCTACATATTCTCGATCCCCATCATATTCTGAATCGATTTACGCATGTTCGTCTATCCGTCTGTGTAAACACTCTCCTGAGCGGCAAGAATAAAGCGGTGGACTTGAAATTTGACTACGCCATTGGAAGTTCTTACGCCTAGATCGATATTGAAAATAGGCTAATTCGGTCGAAGAACACGCCTACAATACCATGTAATTTGACTTTTGCTCATCACTTACAAACCACAACAGATGAACCTATACAGGCATGATCATATATTCGATGATACTTGCGCAATAACGGGGAAAATGTACGAATTTGTGAATACCTTTATAATACCCAGAAGGAAGCGTTACAAGCGCCGTAAGTACATAAATCCTTGACCAGTGTCAAATTCGTGGTACACCGAAGCATATTCATCTGTTGTTATTGCGGCTGTCCTTCTGCCCAACTGTGTAGTATATGTGGCAAACATTATCTCGTTCGCGAAACCGAAGACATTGTCTTGAAGTTTGCTTAAACCACTGAAAGGACACGCCTGCTATGCAACATAAACCAAATATAACTTTCCTACTTGTTTGTTTTTTTAAATTATTTTTAAGTTTCTAAATTTTTAAATTATTAAATTGAGCCGATAGCCTGTGTTGCTAGTGCTCAATGTCTTTTTTTTTAGTCTAAGAATTTATTTCATTAATCTAAAATTATAATAATAATAATAATAATAATAATAATGAATTATTAAATTATTCCGGGTTTTTAATATTTATAAGAAACTCATTTGGCAAGCAATATTATAACAGTCTCAACTAAACAGAAGTGCAATAAGTGAAAAAACTTCTTGGGCTTTGTTCACCGCTGTCTTCAACGCATGCGAAGGACGACGTCAGGCCGGGGAAGTGCGCTAAAGTCCAAGCAACTTCTTCAGTCCTGTTAGTTTTCGATGCTTAGGCAATTCTGTCAATTCTGCCAGAACAGCTGCTGTTATCATCGCCTCAGTTTGTTGACAATACTAGAACAAGCAGAACGCTTGAGCCGTCAATAATGTAAGAGCACATCAAAGAAGCATTTTGCAAAATTAAAGCATCATTGTCGCATAATAGCTAAGACAAACCTTAGGTGCCTCTAAAAGTCGTCTTGGACGATTGTTATTACTTCACAAGCTGAGCGTCAAATCAACAATCTTACGTAACAAAAACACAGAGGATTCCTCATCAATTAATTCTAAAATATAATCAAAAGAATTTTTGTGCAGCGCCTTCCCATTTCGATCACCAAACCGCAAAAAATTTTCTGTACATATTGTACTTCACTAGTACACGTTTTATTTGAACTTTCTATTTAAACTTACCACCAAAACCGAATATATCGTCGTCATCGTCGTCTTCTTTTTTCACTGGGGTTGGAAACGGTTCAGCTTCGGCTACCCTTAAGCCCTCAGGACCAAATTTAAAACAAGACACTCGTAAGGCAGCTTCAATTTCATCATCAGCTCTTAACTCAAAACCCAAACACGCTTTGAAATTTCGCTTGGCTTTCGATAAACCGTAAATGCGGCCACAAAATTTTGAATAACCCCCTGGTAGGCCCACGCAAAACGGCCGAGCCTTCTTACCTAAAATGGAGTAGAAAAAAAGTGAATAGTCAATTTTGAATTTGTGCAATTTTCCGTTCCGTTGATCCCCAGCTTAAATGATATTTAAAATAATTTTTGGGGTCTTGGAGGCATATAATTATTGATTTGTGTTACAGTTTAAATCAATTGTTTTTGTAACTTGTAAATTGATAATACAAATATTTTGGGATTTTTGGTAATTTTTTTGAAATGCCTGCCAATAAATGATTACCTTACCATGACAGCATGGGCTCCTCAAAAAGTTCAGATCTTACAAACTAGATGCACTACCTTCCCCGATTGCGAAAATGGAAGAGACATACAATATGTATACATTTATGAAAACTTTATTGACTTACTTGATATTGTACGGCTAGCCAAGGTTAGATCACCGTATTTTAAAGTCACTGACATTTTCTCATCACCCAAATATGTAATTTTAGCACAACCTGGTCCTTTAATGGGTATAAAGGGTAAATTAAAGTCCCGACAACAATCGCAATGATTCTCCGTGCATTTGCAAAATTTGACAAGTCCACCAGAATCATTAGTATTCTTCGTAGGAGTCGAATTGAGTAAAGTCGCAGGTGTGGTTGCGGTAATTAAAGGTGTAACTGCAGGAGGAGAAGCCAGGCTAATTTCATTAATTGAGTCATCGATCAACTCACTCGACTGTGTTGCACCCGTAGTTCCACTATTAAAATATATATAATCATCTTGATCTCCATTTATAATCGACTCCGGAGGCGCCACATTAGGATCAATCTCTTCAGGAGATAAATTAAGCTGTTTGAAATTGTTAGAGATTCGTTGAGCAGGACGAAAAATTGTAATAGCTTCGAAACCGCTAAAGCAAACGGCCAATGTTAAAAAGAAACTCAGCCAAAGGCGTGGCATTCTGTCTAGTTAGGCGGTCGAAATGAATAAAGGAGAGAAAGAATATTGAATGAATGAATATCGATTTATACCTAAGGCAAAATAAAACAAATAATAAGTAAGAAAAGTATATTCGGCGGGGGCCGAATTTCGCATACCCTCCACAATGTTTTTCGCATTCTACTTCTTTTATTTGATACCCATATCACTAGTAATATTACGAAAAAAGTAATGGCGGTGGCTACCATATTCATTTCAAAATGCACCCAATTTTTAGACGGATAATATATATATACATTTAAAGAATATACAAAATAGTTTTAAACATTCGGTCTGGTTTGCCTTGTATAAGCATAAAACTGTAAAAAAGTGAAAAAAGCAGAATTTAATCACTTGCAACTTTGTGTGGGCATAGCGGATGTTTTCCATTTTTGCACGTAAGTAGAAAAGTGCTTCCTAAATTAAATGTAGAAAATTTCAGCCCTCTAACTTTTATAATTTCCGAGTAACGACCAAAAGTCCGAAAATTTTTGTTAAAAAAAACGGAGCTGCGGTCAGTTTACGCTCCAGTGCGAGCTCCCGCTCCGGCCGAATTGGCTCATTTTCAATGTTCCTATTAAATTTGAAGTCGATATCTTCTTTTTGCGACCAAGAGAATACCAACAACACACGCCACACAGACAAACAGACATGCAGACAGACAGACGTGGCTTAATCAACTCAGGTCAACTTGTAGGGTCTCTGAAGCCTCCTTTTGAGTGTAATATACATTATGGGAAAAAAACAAAACGAGTGTGTCCCCATCTTACAGTGGTGGGCGTAAAAACAACATAATCGGACAAAGTCGATTAAAAATACCTTAAACCGCTTCACCTAATGTTCGTAATTCGATCATTTGCGTGATAGTTAACCAAAAATTCTGCCTTCTTTTCTAAAGACATGTTTTTCGTGATAGCCTTACAATGGAGGGCATGCAAAACGTGAACCATCAAGATTCAAATTTAGCAAATTTAACTTTCTTGTTAAAAGAATATAGAGTACACATATAGAGTACACATTATATAGAGAACATGCTACAAATTTTAGTTGCATATAATTTAACATCGCGTGGATATTATCCCCATTCCTGTTGTCTTCTTTTTATAGCACTCAGAAATACGCTATGCAGAATTCGTGAAATATATATATTCTTAGGTAATCTAAGATTAAAATCTAATTTAGCCCTTTCAGTTTCTACGTCTGTCTGCTCTCCGTCCATTCCTGTCGCCCTTCAATTCCTGAGATATGATAGTTGCATTTTTCAAGGGCTGGTATGATTACTTCTTATCCACCTTTGAAGAGTGACGATCCCATTTAAGAATATATTTTGTAATCCTAATGTATTGGTTATGTCGAAGTGTCTGCTATTAAAAATTCAATGTAAGACCACCGTAACTTTTTTGCATGTTACATACAATGCTGCCTGCAATGGAATTCAAGGATAATGAGTACAAGAACATGAAAAACTAAACCAACTTAATTTTGATATTTTATAACAATGAATGGGCGCCTTCAATTTTTTTAAAACAACGACAATATATCTTCATGTGTAGTTTCCCTTATGGGTAATAAGCAGAAAAGTATCAAAATGGAAAGCAAATAGGAAAATTAAATTCGGTCGGGCGCATAAGTTTTATACCGTTTACCCAAAAAAAGACAAAAAAAATCCACACGCTCTGTAACATGAAGTGGGCGCGGCTGATATTTTCGGCTGCGGCCACTCCATAATTTAGAGCATAAAAATTATCTTGTTTTACATATTTTGTCTCTTTTAGAACAACGATGATGATGGATATAATAGATTCGGTTCCGACCCAATTTAATTTTCTTATTTCTTTTAAATTTTTTTTATTTTAACATAGTAAATGATTCTGCTAAATAGCTGATATATTAACATATCCCGAAGTTAAAATTTACAGATTACATTGCATACACAGTTGTATGACAGCATAAGCATTAGGGTCGTGTATAGTATTCCCATACGCACATCTACAGCGTACGTGAGTTTTTATGGATCCAACCACAAACTTGTCGTTGGACGAGAACTGCAACCATACCGTACACAACGCAAATCCAACAAATCATTAAATAAATAATCGAACAAAAATTTTATAGTGAAATTTGTATTTAATTTTATTTTGCTGTTAAACTTACAAGTCAATATGTGTAAGTTATATACTCGAATAGAAAGTATAAGACCAAACCAGTAAATGAGTAATGTATTTAAAGAAGCAGTGTTTTGGGAATGAAAGAAATTCTCCATAAATCATAATTTTTAATCCGATATTGAATAAACAATCTACATAATAGGAAAACGTGAGATGAAGAAAGGAATCCAAGTAAGGATTTTTAAGGTATTTTAAATTATATATAAATATGTATAAATATATATATGTACATATGGGATAGCAAGCGACTTTTGAAGATATTTCTTCCAACACGATTGTTATAGATGTAGCCATTGGTAGAGCAAACAAAATTCTGATAGGAGAACCGTCTCTCAACTATGGATTGAACTGTCAAAAATTTTGAATTTAAGAAAAAATGTATTTGCCAAGTAAATTCGCGTGATTTCTTATGAGAAAGACGCTAGACATTACATTTATGGCTCTTGTAATAAAACTTCTTGACGAAATGGTCTTTTCAGACTGTACACAAAAACTCAATTTGCGACTATTGCCATAAGAGGGACAGCCTCACTCCAACAGGCATCAGTATAAGCCAGTAGGAGCGATGGATGACGGATACCGCGGCAATTAGAGCTCTTCCAATTAGGTGCAGTTAACGTTGCCTTTGAAGATCTGCCATTTGATCACCAGTCATTCGTGTGTTTTAGCATAGTGAACTCATTTTTTTTCTCTAGTATATGCTTCAATATCGTCAATTAATATTGTATTTCTTAGTTTAGCGTTGATGCTCCCAAATGATATTCAATTTTACTTCCAATATTGTAATGAATTTGCTGCCCAGAATCATGGAATCATTCCTTACGATTCCGAATCATCCTCTCTCGAAGAAAGTGAAGTACAGTTTTCGGGGTTTGATTACTTTTATGGGATAAATTATACTGTCGCATAGAACCTAAAAGTAGTATTTTTACATCGTAGTTTGACAACCGGACGCTTACAAGGTATTGTCACCTTGTAAAACACACAAAAAAGTTCAGCACGCTTTCATTATACTTCTCCATGCCACATTAAAAGCATACCAACTATTCCATGTGTTTTAAATACTTTTCATTTATTAGTTTAAATGCAAAATATTGCGAACTTAATTAGAAATTCCATATGTAATTTTCATAAATGATTTTTCAAAAACCAGTAAAAATATTATAGTCGGAAAGGGCCGACCATTAATCGGACAATAGGCAGACCTTCATAAGGTATTATATGCGGCAAGCGCTCGAAAATGCAATCAGATCCAAACCATTTTCCTCCTTGCGTTAAAACAAATCGATGTACCAAATTTCATCAAACCATCTCAGGACGAAAACACAAATATCGAAAAGCGATTCTGAGTCTGTCTACTCGGGCAAAGGTGAATCCATCTCAAATCCTTCTGAGTGTCATATACGTCCTCACAAATTTAACATACTCTGCATCACACGTAGTAATGATGCTTATTTAAAACAGAAGAACAAGAACGACATCTAAGACTTGCCACGCCTTCTTGATACATTTCAACTCAAACCAGTGAATGGAATGCCGCAATCGGGACAATTTTTACATAGGAGGTTTGGCTGATCCTAAGCAATATTTATCCCACATTTTATATTAAACATCAGGTATAGATTGTAAGCTATATTTTCCTTATTAACGTGAGCGTTGTTGCAGAGAGATCTTTTTTTTTTCGCTAAATATCAAGATAGTTTTTGCGACAATTTTTACAGGCTTTCACATCAAGCTCTTCTATCCATTGGAATTTTGAGTTTTCATCTATTTTATGCATGCGGTCGGATCGTAGTTGTTTTTAAATTCAATCTGAAACCATCAATGAAGAATACGCACTTACTGCTCAGCTTCAGTTCGATATTTCCATTGCTGTAATCATGACCTTTCAAACATTTCAAATTATTGCGCTATGGAAGAATATAAAAGCTTTATGACACCTACTAACACATACTTTCACAAACGAACAATTGTACAAACGAAACGAAAAAATATCATGCGTTAGTAGTTGTACAAAAAAAAAGAACTTGGCTTGAATTATTCGCCCGTTACACGTCGTACATCGTGCCCTGCAATTTATAATATATATTGCAATTTATAATATATTTATATAAAATTACACAATGGCTCAAAAGTTTTCAAATGTTATGCTAATGGATCCGAAAAAAGATTTCCGTACCACGCCACCTACTTTCCTTAAAAGATATAATAATATCAACATGAGGAGGATTTTTTAGCTCACAGGGAGTATAGCTGGAAACGAACACCTTTTTTTTGGAGGAAAACTTGTGCACGCAAGGAAAGACAAACTGCTGGCCGGTCCAAGATCTAAGGACTTTTTTTTTGTCACCTCATTTCACGTATGATCAAATCAACACGAATCCAAGTAAAATGTCATGAAAAAGGGTAACACTCAGTATATTCATCGCGATTTACTTTTAAAATCTCAACTGTAATTTTAACCAAGCGGCATACCAAAAGGCATACCTAAATCGCGTTCGTCCTTCACTTTGAACAGGATTGTAATATACATATATATATACATACATATATATATATATTGTAGTGTGATCGTATACCGTCGTATGCATCCACTTTGAAGTGCGACAGCAAAAAAAAGTAAAACAAAAATTTTGTCGCACTTCAACTGGCTGGGTATTGCATTACGAAATGCAATACGATGCCAGGCGCTCTAATTAAAATAATTGATAACGTAGCATAAAATCACCTATAGATTTAAGTATAAATATTCCACCTGGCAAATAAAGAATTTCAATTGATATCAAACAATTCAATCAAAGGGTATCAACTCGCTGTTTTAATAAAGGCGTTCTATCCGCCTCGTAACTTTAATTAGGGACCGTCTCTTGCTGAGTTCTTTTGGCACTACTTGAGACGGATAGACTTGGCGTTCTGCAGCCGAGCAGATTAGGGCTCTAAAGCAGTAAAACTACCTACGCTTAGGGAAGGATTCATAGGGAATCCCCCCAAATACTGCAACGCAATTTTCTATCTCCACTACACATCGGCTGAGTATTAGCTTTTATCATTACAATATATACTTTATGCTGTTCCAGAGATGAGTTGCAACGGGTTACAAACACTTGACAAGTTAAACGTCGCATATCTATCTATTTATCAGGTATGGTAAATATAAAAACTCTTTATAGATTTGTAGTAAATCAATACATTGTCCTCCGTACTTGAAATAATATATACAGTGAGTCTCATTTATATTGAGTTTTCTCGCTCAAACGTTTGTTAAACCTAATTCCATCGTCCACATATAACAATTTTTTTTACTATATTATAGTTGGGAATACTTGGGGAATACATGTAAAAATATAAAAATACGACAAACAAAATACTATTCCTGTAGACAAGAAAATTAAATAACTTCAACAACTTCAAAAACATGGCGTCGTTAATATTGGGTTTTTTTTCATGTCAGGAAAGATACGAAGAAAGCAGACAGCGTATGATTAAAAATTAATATTCAGTGGGGCATCCTTTTTGCGCAATAACGTCATTTAAAAGTTTGACATATTTTGTATAATGTTTCTTGCATAGGAAACAGGAATCTTACTCCACACTGTTTTTCAGACTATCTTCACCGGAAGGAATTGTGTGTTCTTGCACATGGCTATCCAATTCATTCCATATATTTTTAATGGACTTCGTGCTTGATGATTTATGAAAGAGGGTGAAGCACTTTGCGGGCTTTACGCTTGAGATCGTTATCTTAGTAAGTAGGTTTAAATGTTTGTAAAACACCAGGCTTTCTATTAGGTATTTTTTAAAGCATCATAATTAGTTCCCAACCGGGTCTGCTCTCAAGTTTTTTGCATTCTATTTAAAATTCTGCAACTATTGGCGATTCATCTGCATACGACGGTTAAATTAAGGCGTGAATGGTGAGCAAGCATGAACTACTTAATATAAATACGAATATTTATATTTTAAGAACTTTCTGATAAGAGACTTCGCATCTAATAAACGAACCGACAAAATTATACTACACTTTTTCATTAAAAAATTTTCACAAGTCAATAAAGTTTTTTATAAAAAGTATGCAATTTTCTAAATATATGCAAATTATTTTCTCATTATTTTCAAAACTGTTTTTGAAAACTATTTCCACAATTGTTTGTAACCAATCTTTACGAAAAATTCTTTTTAAGCAATGTTTTAGAGAACATAAGGCAAGAAAATAATATATTTTTTAAATTGATAGAAAATATTATTTCCTCGATTAAGCCGATAGATAGCCTTGGATGCTAGTGCTTTAAGACTTTGGTCTAAGAAATTCTTAATTCTCTGGCTAAATTAATAATCTATTGAAAAGCTACAATTTCTAACTAGGAAACAAAATTAGGTTTCAAAAAAAAATATAAGATCTGAAATATTGCAAAATTTTTTATTAAACCTTATACAGCGGGTGCATAAAAAATGAAATTTTCAACAAAAATATTTTTTTTTCTTTATTCCTTTCTTTATGATTTTTTTGCTATCCTATGAAGAGATCTCTGATTACATTAAATTACTCGAATCAATTCATTCATCAAGTTGGTATATGCATACAATGTAAGGCAGTTATCATGTTTATCATTATTTTAAGCAATTCTATAAAATTCATTAAACTTTTGTATATATGTGATCAATTCAGATTACCTATTGTCCGGAATATTCACGTAATTAAAAACCCAAGCACTTAATCGTTCGAAAATTTATGAAATTTTTATGCAAATAATCTGAATATTTTTAAAGCGTTTCACTTTCTATCAAAGCGATTAGATAAAAAAAAAATAATCATATAAATGTTTACTGTTTACAAGAAAGAAACCGTACGCGCACGCTTACTTTCCACCAGCGTTGACTACAACTACTTTGGCTCGAGAATTAAAACTAAATGAAATTAAGAAATTCAGTTCAGATGTTGACGCGGACCGTCAAAACCTAGTAGAAAAAAAGCAAAAAGAAAAAAAAAAAAACAATCAACGATGGTTTCTTCTTTTCACAAAGCAAAGCTTGTACGCAAACAAATTAAAATATATTTTGATTATGGTTTACCCGTTATGTATATAAAATTTTTTCATTCAATAAAAAGTGAAGAGTTGGTTAAACGTTGTAAAAAAAAGAAAAAACCATTTCTTATTGATCTTAACTAGTTTGGATGTTTTGTTATTGTACTTAAACCAAAATGTATACAAATATGTCCGTGTGTGTTAACCTGAACACAGAAAGAAACTTGAATTTGTTTCTTCAAATGTGCGATTGCAACTTGGCTCGAGGTTTGAAGAAATACTCTTGCCATCGCGAGCTTTCGCATTGTATTAACAGTTACACGCACACCGATCACGTATTAAGTTTTCCTTTTTTTTTCACAATTGCAATGGAAGAGTTTATGTTCTGTTGCCCGCCACATATGTATATGCGCAAGCGCGTATGGCAAATGTTAATAACCATTAATGGTAAACGGAACACAACGTTACATTTAGTAGGTCTCTTGCTTTATGCCGATTCAATTTCGCCCAACAACGCTTCATACTATCTGCCTTTTTCATATGGGCGAGAATATTATGATAAACAATTAAGAACAAATCCGCTTTAAAAGCTTTTTTTTAATACTTCAAAATCGAATGTAACCGAATTATCAATCGGACATCGGAATCTGCCTTAATATGTAATACTATCATAATATATTATTAACTAATCCAAATATAAATTTATTCCAATTCCGTTCTACTAACTTCCCAGCAGGAATTCATTTAACTTGAAAGACCTCTTCGGAAGTCTTGAGGAAGATCTTAAAATTTCTTTCAAATAATGAATTCTTTCTCTTTCTATTATAAATCGATTAAGTCAAGAAAACAAAATTGATTTTCTGTAAAACATTATGAAAATTTTTATGAAACGTAAACTATTGAAGTATCAAAAGGCAATCACATCGGAATCTATAGTGGACACATAGTTAACCGTAAAAGGGAAAAAATGTTTTTTCACTAATATGGGTACCCAAGAAAGTTAATAAAACTGTTTCGTTAAAAATATATTTTCGCTTAATGTATGTCCCATAAATATGACATTGTAACGTAAATTACTAAGAACAAAAAAAAAATATATATATATATATAAGTATATTCCTTCTCGTCTTCCTCCTTCACTCTAAGACGATTCGTGAATTGTAAACATCCCCATATAACAAACCACTTGCATAGCGCAGACTCACTCTGATACGATTCAAGCAATGAGAAGCTCTCCATATAAGACGGCGCTTCTGTGGCACGGACTCACGGACTCTAACACGGCTCGAGAATTGCGAGCATCCCCTTATAACACGGCACCTCCGCAGCACATGCTCGCTCTAACACGATTCGAGCAATGGGAACTTCGCTATATAAGAGGGCCCTTCAATAGCACGGACTCACACTAACACGGCTCGCGAAATATAATATTAGTTTGGGGAAAAAAAAATCCATTATTTTTATATGAACTTCAGTACTTTATTTAACATGCTTCGGATTGTCCGATTTGGGTCAAATATGCACCGTTTTGTTGTACGATTTGTTGCCATTTTAAAGGTAACTTCAAAATGCCTCTCTCATAGAAGTCCTGGTCTCTATTTGCAAAAAACTCTAGTAGTCGATTTTCACAATCCTCCCTAGATTCCAATTTTTTATCATTTAAGAAATTTTGCAATGCAAGAAAAAGATGATAATCGCTTGGTGCCAAGTCCGGACTGTATGGCGGATGCATTAAAACTTCCCAACCAAGCTCCCGAAGTTTCTGGCGAGTCACTGTAGATGTGTGTGGCCTAGCGTTGTCCTGGTGGAACACGACACCTCTCCTGTTGGCCAATTCTAGCCGTTTCTGGTCAATCGCTATCTTCAAACGGTCCAGTTGTTGACAGTAGAGATCAGAATTTAGCGTTTGGCCATATGGAAGCAACTCATAATAAATAATCCCCTTTCAGTCCCACCAAATGCCTAGCAAAACCTTCCTGGCCGTTTGAGGTGCTTCACCGCTCTTTGACCACGATCGTTTTCGCACAGGGTTATCCTATGTGATCCATTTCTCATCTCCAGTCACCATCCGTTTAAGAAATGGGTCTATCTCATTCCGTTTGGCCAAGGCTTCGCAGATGGAAATTCAATCCATCATGTTTTTTTCTGTTAATTGGTGTGGCACCCAAACATCGAGCTTCTTTTTGAATCCAGCTTTGTGTAAATGGTTTAAAATTGTTTTATGGTCGATTTTTAGTTCCTGGGCGATGTTACGACTGCTAACATGCCGGTCAACTTCGATCATTTATCCGATTTTATCGACATTTTCGACGACAGGCCTACCTGTGCGAGGTGCATCTTTAACATCAAAAATTCCTGAACGGAATCTACGAAACCAAAATTGCACACGATTGGCTGTTACAGTATCGGAACCATAAACACCATTCACAATTTTAGCCGCCTGGCTTGCATTTTCGCCTTTGTCAAAGAAAAACTGTAAAATGTACCGAATTTTCTCATTTATAACACGCTGTAACTCACAACTGAATGCACCAAACAAAAAACAGCAAAAGAATTTTTTTTACTGCGAAATGTCACCTTTCCAACGAGCTGAAATTGTTTGATCGATACTTTAGGAGAAATCTATCAGTGCAGCCATCTACCGAAAAAATAATGGATTTCTTTTTCCCCAAACTAATATAATAAAAACTATTGAAAAAAGAAAAGTTTTATTAAACTGTAGCCAATTCCCTAGTTTTACTAGAAAGTTTACTTTACAAAGCATAAAGAAGGAAATAGACTTAGACGAACAGTTAGAGTCATTTTTCTTAAATGATGATCCTTTGAATGAAAGAAGCGCATAGTTTAAAAGACAAGTTCTTCTATAAATATCTCTCAAATAGAAGCAAGCAGACAAAAATTTGCACATTGTTTGCAAAGGGTAGCGAAAAGATCTAAAGATAACGCAGAAATATGCTCAGAGAATGAAGATATCGTGCCAAAGAGAAAACTCTCGCGATTAATTGTGCCCAGTGATCACGCAGAAAACACTGTATAATTCTTATTTCTATGTATTATATCTTAAGAAAATTTTAGTAAACATATTTATCTTAATTACGAAAATATGATAGCACGTTTTTTAATTTTTGGAAGCTAACTTTGGAAGCTTTTTTACTAGTTCTTTGCTTCGTTTAATACTGATACGCATAACATGGTAATTTTTTGGAACGTAAGCCCGTGTTATACGAGAATTACCTGTATTCTTGCCATTTTTATACGCTCTTAACCAGGACTTTCGAGCTTGTGTCGATGAATGCAACACCCAAAAGCGCGTAAGACAAACCCACCTAATGCACTTGTCTGTGCGTGTGTATATCCATATATATTTGAGATCAATCGTCGGAGACTTCAATTGCAAATGGAATTGGATATGAAAAACAATGCAATTTCCAAAGTTCTTCGGCAAGTACCGCGCGATACAAATCAAGAAATAATATTTCGGCATTCTAAATTGTTATGAAAAATCCTTTATGGATGGGGAAATTTTTTAAACCATTCTCAAAGAACCGCTCCCGCGAAACTAGGAACGCGTTTAATTTTCAATATTTGATAGTGAAAACTGGTCCACAATAGTAATTTGACATAAAAATTAGCCTTGTCGAATTTGGATCATGTACGTGCTTTCTTGAATTCCACCCCCAATTAAGGGTTCTTATGGAAAACAAGCGTTTATATGGCAAAAATATCCAATTCTTGATACTTTAAAATGGAAACTGATCCGTGACAATGATTTCATGTAGAAGTTAACTGTATCAAATTTGGATAGCGCTGCATATAAAGATTGTTACGGAATAGAAATGAAACAAATAGATCTGCAATTTGGACATATGTAGGGGTGCTTTGGAAAAGCAAACCGTTATACGGTGACAAAGTCCAATTTGTACGTTCTTATAAAGGAAACAGAGGAAAAATAATAAGACCTTTAACAAGTACATGAAATTCGTTAAATTTGAATCAGGTCAGTTAACGTGTTGAGTGGCTTTTAACATCAGAGCCTTCATAAGCACTGCCTTTTTTTGTTTTTAGAAATTTTCATGAGAACGATTAAATCAAAAAATCAGCAAATCATGAAAAATTCCCACAATTGTATATAAAAACAAAAGTGCAATAACTTGTAATTTTTCCTTTTTAAATAGAAAAAGGAACGCATCACACAATCTTCAAGTACATACTGTTCTGTAGTCAACAACTAACAAATTTATATTCGGCCGTGACCGAATCCCTTGTACCCATCAACTTTCTCTTAAAAGATGATAAAAACAAAAAGAAAGGACTACCATTTCTCTCTATGCTATAATGGATGCGCGTGGCAGAATATACGCGAAAATTTATATTGTTTGTATGTTGAATAAAAAATCGAGCAAACAGAATGGTTCTCTGAGACCTGTTGATATTGCACCTGTAAAATGGGATATGATCGTTTTGGATCAGCGTCTTGACATTTGTTGCTTTGCTGATGGAGTTTCGCTGACACTGATTCCATGTATTCTAATATTACCTCTCTCCGTTTCCGTGAATTCTTTCCATAAGCAATCACGCCTATCAGCATAAAGATTATTAGGACATATGCCATGTACTATCCTTTTTTAACCCGTTAACCTGTTTTTGTAATAAAACTCTGGCATTTAGCTTCTGTTCTAACCAATAGTCATTAAGTTGATCTGCAAATTTAATAAAAATGTTTTGAAACCGTCTTATCACAAAGCTGTAGGAGCCAGTGCATACGCTTCCCCGACAATACTAATAACAACATCGTTGCGTAAATCGACCTTTCAGTTTAAGAAAAAAAGTCTATGAGTTGAAAGGTAAAGTTATTCCGAAATTTCCTAACTCTAGCAATTCAATGTTCGACGATAGCATTAAAAACCCATTGTAGATAAAAAACAAGGGTTTACTATCCACAATAGACTTTCGTATATATGTTGCAAAAGCAATAACCATCGCCCTAAGCATCTCCCAAAAACTTGGATTCAAGCCCCAATGCGCCTCCAAAGCCAAATTTTGTAATAGTATATTTCACTCTCGGCATGCAGAAAAGCACATACGACGAACCACGTCTTCAAGGAACTAGTCGCAGAAAATCCTTACATTTTGAAAAATAACGATTAGAATCTTTTGTTTACAGACTGCTCTAAGAGACAGCAATGCGGTAGATACCACTGGGCAAGTCCAAATTAATCGTATGCTATACGGAAATGTTTCAAGAGATACAAGTGAAGAGCTATTTTTCAAATTGCGGATCTTGCTCGCAAACCAAATTCGAAACAGCTATCATCACGGATAGTCTGTCCATCATAAAAGCTGCAGTTCTAAGGGCATCATCTCTTTGATAATAGTGTATCTGACGCACCTGATGTACTTTAATGATGTAATTATTTTAAGTAACTGTTTGCCGTCGCGCTTACAGCGTTTAGTATAGTAAACGTCTCCATCCGCACTCTCTCTCGCTTGTTTCGTGTCACAACACCTGTCAATTTACCAATGGATCATCACAATTACATATGGATGAAATTTGTTTTAATAGCCCTGTTTTTGATATGTCTGTTTCCTATTGACAAGCGACAACCAAATATTGTACCAGATTTACAGCAATAACCACAAGACTTTCTGAGAAATGTTTGACAAACAATAACTATTTTTTGCCGCATACAATTTTATTGTATATTAAGATATTTACTTATGGGAAAAAATAATTTTTCTCAGCATTAGAAAGAATAATCTTAAGAAATTAAGGGCTATGCCATTATCTGGAATATTTTTTGAAAATTTGAAATTTTTCATCAAAAAAAAAATTGGTTCTTTGAATTTTAATATTGCAATCAAGCGTTTTAATAATTACTCACCTCCTAATAAATGCAAGTCCCATAAAAAATAATTTGCATTTAATCGTATATAAGAAATACGATTACGGATGCTCGAAGTAAAATAAATCTCTTTTTTTCTACATAATTTTGCGGAATAAACCGTTTAATTTACCCTAAATTGGGAAATTTTCCCCAAATGAAAAATTTAGCTGGACGGCCACGTCAACCAATTCTTTTCATATTTTTATTCCCGTCATCGAGAAAGGAAGGGAATGTTAAGTTCTCCGTGTGATTGTGTACGTACCAAAGACGTATTGATGTGTACATACTTAACCGAAGTCGTCGTTAGGTTGCGTATCTGCATATCAGCACAGAAAAAGACTACGGCTCATCATTACTGGTAACTAACTGATTCCCCAAAAAAACGATAAAAATTTCAATGTTTTTCATAAACTTTCGTTTTGCAATATACGTCCCAAAGTGATATATAAAGTTTTGCTAATTATATGCTCGTTAATGAAAGCCTTGTAATATCTGTAAAATCCGCTTCGAAATCAAAAGCAAAACGTTTCGCATTTTATCAATAAGAATGTTTGGGCTGATCGTAGCGCATTCTTATTTTCCAAAACAATGATTCTTTTACGGTATGGGCTAACGCATAGTCGAGCGAATAAGCGCCTGTGACCACCAACTTGGCAGTCGCGAATCTCAGCTCGTTAGGCCGCATTTTATAAATAGCTATGTATATAATTACTTATATTCGCTTGTGAATATCTGAAAAGTCTGAAAATACTGCATACCGTTTACTTTATTGTTTGCTTCTGATTTACATCCTCCGCTATAATGTCGTAGTGTAAACCATAAATTTATGTTCGCCCGTTTGTTACTACTTTAAGCCGTGCAACATGGAAAAAGAACGTATACTTTAAAATGAAATTATTTATTTGTAATTTCAGCCAGTGCTGCTTAGTTCGGCTGAAAATATATTATAGTTAATAATGCATAAATAAAATATTTATTTATTTATAAAGCATAGATTTACAAAGTATAGATATAAAGGGTTCTGGATAACTTGGATCGTGTGCTCGCTTGTACTCAAAACTCGACCGCGCTTCATATTTGAAAATAATAATTTCTAAGTTTTGTATATATAAACTAACAAAATTTACTAATAAATAAATTTTTCAATTTAACTAAACCTAATATAAATTAATTTGTATTATTTGTATAACCGCGATTGCTGGCACAAATTTTATCAATACTAATTATATTACTAGTTCTAAATTTCTTTAATTAATAATATTAATTACTGCGATTAAATAAAAAAACTACAATTATTTAAATTGTAATAAAAACTCGCAAAAATTTACATATAAATTAAATAAATAACAAACTTTTAAGCCAAAAGAAAACTTTATAAATAATTTTTTTATATTTATTATTTATAAATATAATTCATTTTAATAGTTTAATTAATTAATTTTAGTATTAATTCATCTTTATTTATGTGCTGTGAATGTTCTTGGGACTTGGAGAGAGCCACTTTCAAATTGTCATTTCTATTTGCCATTATCGTGCAACCTTTCTGCTGTAGTTTGTTGCTATCTTCGCAGACGTATATATTTTTCCAATTTATTTCCACAATTTGACATTTCAAGAAATGATGACATTTGATGTTTTTATCAGGTTTTGTTGGTGCGAACGCAGAATTTGTTAAAAAAAATACTTTAAATTCATCTGCAAAATAAACAAAGTCTCACGAATCACTTAACTCACCATTAAGTAAAATGCTTGCAAATTACATTACCAGATCTTTACAGAGCGTGGTATGTTATTACGAAAGAAAAACAAATTATGTAATTTAATAATAGAGTAATGTAAACTTTCATGACCGGTAAGTTTTAATAATAATTTGTATCGATTTAGCGAGGTGGTTTACGTGCAATTGCAACTTCTACCGTGCAGAATAGCGACAATTTATTTGTGCATCGCGATACACCTGAAGATAACCCAGATGTACCTTTCGAGTTTACACCAGAAAATCAAAAAGTATGTAAAAATTTTCCCCCTTTCCTAAGTAATTAAAGAGTTCAATCAGCGAATAATAGAGTAAATTCTTCCATCTTTAGCGGGTAGAGGCCATCTTGAGTATCTATCCAGAAGGTCATAAACGCGGTGCTTTAATACCATTATTGGATTTGGCACAACGCCAATACGGATGGCTACCCATTTCGGCCATGCATAAAGTAGCGGAGATTTTAGGTTTACCTAATATGCGTGTCTATGAAGTGGCCACGTTCTATACGATGTTTATGCGTAAGCCAACTGGTAAATATCATATACAAGTCTGCACTACCACACCTTGTTGGCTAAGAGGATCCGATGATATTTTAGCCACTTGCAAGGTAAACATTCAAAACGAAATATAACGCAATTTTAACACAAGTTTTTAAGCAGAAATCATTGGGTATTGGTGTCGGCGAAACTACAAAGGATATGAAATTTACTATTAGTGAAGTTGAATGTTTGGGAGCTTGCGTCAATGCACCTATGATCGCCATTAATGATGATTATTATGTACGATAAATCTTTAAATTTCAAAGTGATTAATTCTAATGAGCTCGCTTCTCTAGGAGGATTTAACTAACAAAGACATGGATGAAATTTTAGCGGACTGTAAAGCAGACCGGGTTCCACGTGCTGGTCCCCGTAACGGTCGCTTTGCAAGTGAACCGAAAGGAAATCCGACTTCATTGACTGAGGAACCCAAAGGGCCCGGTTTCGGTCTTCAGGCGGGCCTTTAAATTTATAAATTATAATTAATCCATAATTAAACACATTAAATAGTTTTTTGTTTTTATTGCTAATGGAACTAATGTTTGAATCGGTTATTCGATCGACAGTTTGCTTGTTCCTAAATTTTTCAAAAATAAATTATTGAAAATTTATTAAGAGAGATCGAGAAGAATGCCTTTAATTTATATTAAAACTCTTATACTGCTATCCAAACGATCAAGATCTATTTTTTCTTCAGAAACTACATTCAAGTTTACTTAACAAAGAAATTTTAAAAAAATAACGCAGAAAAGCGTTCATTCAGCTCGATCCGAGTCTTTTTAAATCCGGCACCATTTGCTGATGAAAAAAAATAACTGTGGTTATTGCATCGTTCACATGAGACAGTGCCACACGCTCTCGTTCGAATGTTAAAACTAGGCTGTTGAAGACATTTTAATTTTATTATATATCTCGGTTTTAGGGCAGAATACGTTTCAGCTGCGAAAGGATCAGCAGTTTCTTCTTTTTGCCCATCACAAAGCAAAAACGCAATACTTACCCAGCGGCGTCTAGAAGGCGTATGAAATGGCAATGCGGTTTCTGTTATGCGCTGGTATATATCAGTGCACTATTTATGTTCATTAACCTGAAATATAAAACGAATATCGTATGTTACTACAAAAAGGAAAGAAATCATCATTGACACTCGAGGCTTCAAATCGGGCATTAATGGGGATGAGTATGCGTCTTAAAGCGGATATTTTCGTTCAAGTGCATAAGGAGTTTACAATTATTCTTATTATGATTATTAAGAGAAAGTAGACGGCAAATATGTAATACCTAAAATCAGATGAAATGCGAAATTATTTGTAAAGATTTCTTAATTTTTGATGGTGTTTGCGTTTAGTCTAAGAATTTTGAGAAAGAAAAACCTAGGAGATTAAAATTGCTGCCAATCGAAGGCGCAAACTTTCAGATGCCGGTTTTATTTAAACGCAAACGATTTCATTAAAAGCAAAGAATCTTAGAATAAATTTATTGCAGCTAGAATAATAATAATAATACTTTGCGTTACAAATAATTTAAGAAAACTAATCTAACCGGACATAGAACATGTTAGACGAAATTTCAAACGTTTCACGAATTAGTGTCAATAAAAGACGCCCTTTAAAAATTTGTCCATAAAACCGAAATCATAATTTTTTACCACTAAAAATATGTTTTTATTTTAAACGATTTCTTACATTTTTCATTTCGTAAACACAAATTTTTTGTTTTGAAATGTAAGGAAAAATTTTGCGCACGAACATTTTGCAAAATGTTGCTTAAGAAATAATTTCTTTCTATTTTAATATTATCTTATGATATTGATATATGTTTTGTATTTCTGTTTTCTTTTTCTAATGTATTTTAAAAAGATGTGAAGAAATCTTCTGTTATATATTTCAACGGAAGTTTTTGTTCCTATGACTTTAAATGTTTACATCCCAACAAAATAAAGACGATCAAACAATACATCTAAAACAAGTCTAGACGAGTCTTCCTAACTGTTACAAGCAATCGAATATTGCTTGAATTTTTTGTTCTTTATACTTGCTTAACTAAATACAGATTACGTTGAAATCTGTTTAAGGATAAAAAAAGGCGAACACACTTACAACTACAAATTATTCAAATCATAATTGAAGTATATGCAATTAGTCAAATATGAAAATCTTAAAGGTGCAAATAAAGACTTTGAAAGTGTTGTTTGCTTTCTCTTGAATGATGGGTATCGATTTAATTTCGCGCATGTATTTAATATTCATTAGTCAAACGTTTAATCATCCATGTCACCGTAGAAGACTCTAAAATTAGTCAAAACTAAATATAATTTTTTTAATATCGAAAACTGCAAATGTACGGAGACTTACCGCTTCTTAGCTGAGGATCGTTTTGATTTACGCCCAATTGGATTGTTTAAATTGGTACGCAACGCTGTCTCGTTAACCAAACGCTTGGTTTTCTTGGGTTCTTCACGCAGTTCTTTAAAGGAGACATTTTCTTGCGATTTCATCCGTTTCATAAACTTTTGTATGATATCATTACAATTAAGATTTTTTTCTGGTTCCCAAGTATCATGCTTCGGTCCAAAACCCTTCCAGCGTATACGGAATACTCTACCAGCTTTCTCCTCGGCATAATCTATAATTTTCTCGACTTCCCATTCCTTATTCGGATCCTCTTTAGGTTTGATTGAAATATTTTTTGCATTACCCTTGCCTTTTTTGGCGGGCGATCCACCTTTTTTAGGTGAATTTATGGCTTGCTGGAAGGAAGAAAAGGACCTACTATTGAAAAGTTTGAATTATAATCTGAGCAGAAAAGTTTTTAACGAATGGGCTTATCAATTGGGAGCTATTAATGATACATTGTTGATGTAAAATTGGGTCCAGCTCTTTCATATGACGTAAAACATGACCTATTTAATTTAAATTAAACAAGTTATAATTTCATCAGCTGACGACACCGCTTTTTGGCAACCGATTCCCAAGTAAATACATATTTAAGTGTAATGACGCGTACCTCAACCGATCCTAATCCAGATATATTGAAATCAATTTACATTTTAAGTGATGCAAAACAAATGCTTTTTTTTTGCTTTCACTAACGTTAGATAGCGTAAAACTTTGATAATTCGTTCCGGATGAAAAGATCATTTTGCTACATTTAACAATGCTACAGCTGTTTTACGAGTCGAAAAGTTGTTAAAATAAATAAAATTTCAACATTTCGACTTTTCTTTGAATTATTATTGAGCAAAATGCGTTATATTCGTGACTCTAAAGTTTAGTGAAAGCGTGACATTTTGTAGTTTCGATTATCAACTAAAGATATATATGTATATATGCGCCATTTCTCAGCTTTCTACGTAAACTTTAACAAATTCCAGCAACATAGTTAAATCGATTTGAAATTTGTGTTAATCAAAAATGTTTAGTTTCTAAATAACGGATTTGTGATGGACACATATAACAAACATTTCAATGCTAAGTATTTGTGTTCAAAAGGATTTTCTATGCCAAGTTACTTCAAAATACACAAATCCTTGAACAAAGCACAGAAACCATATTCCTCAGATCGATTGTACTGCTTCTCATAAAAGGTGAATCAAAACAAATTTAGTTTTTCTTAGCCACACTTCTAAAAGTTTATAACTTCTTCAGTATAATGGCTATGTAAAAAGTTTTCACTGCCACTACCTTATAATAGCATCTGTAAAAATTAGTTTTCACTTTAAATTGCTTTAACTTGCCGTCTGCACAACGCATAGGGTAACTCTATTGGTTTGCCACACTTAATAACTTTCTAGGCAACTGTACTTTTTACTTCACTTTTGCCCTGGATGCCGTTTATAGAATTAAATAGACGAGATACGTTTTGTGTGCCTAGTGTGTGTTTTTTTTCATAACCCATATTCGCGGAAGCCACTTACCTTTTTCTTATATTTGTCTATAATATCCGGACAATTTAATGTATCTTCTGGCTCCCATGTATCATCATCTTTAGTATACCCTTTCCAACGTATAAGAAAATATGAAATGCCACGTTCGATTTTGTGACCTACAATATCTTTCACTTCGTACTCTGCTTCTTCCTCTTCTTCGTCGTCTACTTTAGGCGCCGACTTTTTTGACTGCTTACCTTTACCGCCACTTTTCATGTTTTTTTTACCTTTGCTGCCGCCGCCACTGTTAGTCGCGCTCTTTCTCCCTTTCTTTTTTGGATTTACTGTACCGTTTAAAGGCTCATCATCGCTGTCTTCTTCAGTAGCACCGTCTTTTCTTGCTGCTCTTTCCGCCGCTTTTCGTTTTTTCCCTTTTTTACCATTTTCAGGTTCGCTATCTTCTGGATCGTTGGAATCCGGTAGCTTGTCCTCGTCCTCGTTGTCGCCGGTCTCATCGCCAGCAGTCTCTTCATTATTGGTCATTGAATCTCTGCTTTTATTGTTTTCGTTATTGGCGCCATCGCCAGTGTCCGATTCACTGCCACTAACTTGATCGTCATCTTTATCTTCAATTGTTTCCTCGCCCTCGTCGGCTTTTTCATCATTTTGCTGCTTTTCTTCATTTTCGGCAGCTTCCGCGTATTCTGATATTTTCTTTTTATGAAGCTTGCCCACCATCTTGACTAATTGTCACTACTACTACCAAAAACAATTGTACACAAAAATAATCGTTTTTTTTTTTTTTCGTAAAACGGTTTTATCGTAGAGCACGTATTTACTACATGAACTTTTACTAATTAAATTTTGTAGAATTCAGTGTTTTATATTTTTACTTTCTTAATCAAAAATTAAATAACATCCAACGTTTTATTTGCATGAAGGTTTACAGGAAAATTGAAAAAGACGCGTTGTTAATGGAAAAATGGTGGATTTTTTCTTCCTACAAGCAGAGTTCCCTCTGCTAGAGTTATGTATTAAAAAGATTGCTCTCAGATGTAATATCACATAACCATAACTCTTCGTATCATAGTGGCAAATAAATTGCTGGATATATGGTTTTTTCTGAACTCGGTAACCCCGTTATAGGCACGTGGGTACAAATTGCAATAAATAAAAAAACTTTATTCTTCAATAAAATTGGTAAAAATAATTTGAAATATAATAGCAAAAGTAAGAAGACGATATTTCGACGAAGCTATGAAGATGAATGAAGATGAGTTTTCCGAAAAAAAAGTCTTAAAATTTGAACAAGAAAACGGATTCACCATAAAGAAAAGAAAAATTACGGAAGAAACTGAGCATTCAAAACCAACAAGCAGAATAAGAACTTCGAAACATTTTATCAATAAACTAAGACCAACTAAAAAATTGGCAAGCAATCATGCACCGACTAGGGAAGAGAAAACTGATTGGCGTAAGTTTAAACAAGATAAAAAAGAATTGAAGTTGAAACGTAAGAAGGTTAAAGACTCCTACAAAATTTGTGTGGAAGCCAAGAAAATTTATGAAAAACTTAATAATCGGCGAACTGAAAGCAAAGCGGAGCTTGTGGAAAAATTGTATAACCTTTTTATTGCGGATGACATATTAAACAAAATGGTAATGGCTCATGATTCCTCTCGCATAATACAATCTATGCTAAAACATGCAACACCTTCGCTACGAGAAGAACTTTCTAATCGTTTGTTACTTTGGGTTGCAGACATGGCAGTTTCTAAATATGCTCATCATTGTGTTTTGCGTATTTTCAACTATGGTTCACCCACAATTAAAACGAAGTTGGCGGATGCTTTAATGGGCAGTATTGTTAAATTGGCTTGCCATAATATATCTAGTAAGATCCTAGACCTTGTATATTTAACTGCAGCGAACCCTAAGCAAAAAGCTTATATGCGACAGGAGTTCTATGGTGATTTATATAAGAAGTCGAAAGATGACAGCATTTGGACACTAGCTGATGCGTACAAAGATGCGAGCAACATGAAAGCGTCAATTTTAGGTGCAGTCAAGTCGAACTTGGAGCGTGTGATCAACAAAAAATTGATAGATAATTCGTTATTGCATGCAGTACTATTGGAATATCTTAAAGAATGTGATGAAGATAAGATGGAAGAGATAGTAACAATGTGTACCACAATAGTACCACTAATGTTAACGACGAAAGATGGATGTCAAGCGGCGATATTATGCTTTTATAAATCTTCCACGAAAAATAGAAGGGTAAGTTGATTATAATTTTTTTACACGCAATTTATAATCTGCTTATGTGAATTTCAAGGCTATTCTCAAATCTATGAAAGAACATTTAGTAAAAATTTGTACGCATGAGCATGGTCACATTTTTGCGATAACTGTTCTAAACGCTTTGGATGATACGAAAGCTCTCAAAAAGGTTATTTACGATACACTACATCCTCATTTGGAAACTCTGATGGCTACCCAAGGGGGTCGAAGAGTTATAGAATGGTTTGTAACACCTGGCGATACAAATTGTTTTCATCCAGCATTCATTGCCGAGATTGAAGAAGGTTTAAAATACAGTAAGAAAGATAAGGAAACTAGACGCAAGGAGATTTTAGAGCAAATAGAAGAGCCTCTGACTATCTCAATAACAAAAAATGCAGAATTCTGGTTAAGTAATAAACATATTGGGCTCGTAACGGCTGGAATATTAGAAAAATGTAAGTGCATATTTTAGTATACCCTAGAAACCCCATTTATTTTGATATTTTACAGTATCATATACAAATTTTTTGAATGTTGCACTATGTTTAACCAAAGTTATTGCTGATTCTACTTGGACGATTGATGCCTCCGTCGAATTAAACGACAAGAGTAAAAAATCTCTCGATACAGAAAAAATCATCGAGGAGTCTACAAAACGATTGCAAAGACGCAAGCAGCATAAAATGAAAAGCTCTTTCGAAGAAGGTAAAGAAAATCCTAAAAAAGAGGATGCACATACAGCTACAATCGAAAATGAACAAAAGGTAAAGCGCATAAAATATTTTGGTTTCATATGTATATGTATTAATTTATCAAATCAGAAGCCTGTTGTTAATATGTGGGGTATTGAGGAAGCCGGCCTGCATATTGTTCTCAAGAAAATTCTTAAAAATGATAAGGAACGCTCCGCAAAAAATCCTGGCGGTGAAACATTTGGTTCATTACTGATTAAAGAATTGACGGCAGAAACCTTACAAAAGTGGATAACTATTAATCGTGCTTGTTTTATTCTATTAAATGTAGTAGAGAACAACTCGGAAGAAATTAAAACTCATGTACAATCAGTTTTAAAACCTCATCGCACGTTATTGGAGCAACAAAAAACCAACGGAGCGCAATTTTTGATAAAAAAACTCTTTTAATAACTAGTTTTATATAAATTTTTATTTCTCGTCGAATCGTCTTCACACACAAGTAAGAAAAATAAAGCTTACGGTGGAAAAGGATGCCAAAACATCATATATCCTTAAAAAAAATGGTGTAATGATTATAACTAGAACCAAATTGTGGTAAAACACGTATATCTTAGTACAGCAAGCGAATTAGTACGAATGCACTATTTTAGCTCTAATTTTAAACTGCTCTTTTCTTGTTGAATGAAGAACGGCCTTTGCGTTTCGGAGTTTACTCTGTGCGTAATATTACATGCAAACCAGAATCTGTATCTACTATTTTGGATAATTGACCCACTTTAAGGCTGAAGGCTGCCTCCTCGAATGGTTTTTGCATTTGACCTCGTCCAAACATGCCCAAATCACCGCCTCTTTTGGCGGAACTACAGTCACTATACTTTTGAGCCAAGTCTTCTAGTGTGGCTTCCCCATTTTCAATTTGTTTGCGATAGTCTTCTAAAATCTGACGAGCCTCTTCCTTTGAACGCGTTACATTTTCCTCACGCCACGAACTTGGACGCCGGCTGCCTTTATGTTTAACTAACAAATGACAGCAACGAACTTCACTGGGGCCGCTAGCTGAGATTTCCTTTTTAGCTGGCTCTGTTGGCAAATCCCATTGGGACTCCTTAGTATAAATGTTTAGGTAATAAGTAAGTCCTTGTAGAAATAAAAGCAGAAAAATCAATACAAAATGCGAGTGAATTCATTGAAAATAAAATATTGCAAATGCACCGCCCCATGGCCACTCCATGGATAAATAAAATGAATTATTTAATTTTCTTACCAGTAGAACGACTAGTGCGTACTTCCCAACCTTCTGGTATATTTTTCTCAGTATCGGACATTTTTTTAATGTTTTTAATGACAGTTTCTAATTTCTGTTGAATAAAAATGTTTGATATTTATTAGGACTATGTAAATATAACACAAATACGCACCGGTTAACAGAGTTGCAACATGCGTTTTTCAAAATATGATTACCTTATTCAGGATCAATAGGTAACTCTAATCCCTAGAGAACATAATAAATGAGAATAATTTTATACAAAAATAGTAATAATTTTTAATATGACTTGGCCGAAAAGAATTAGAAAATTATTTTTGAATTGTAACAATCTGAATATTAAATAAAAAAAAAATTTTTTTATTTATAGAATTATTAAAATTTTTGTAATAAGGAGATCGTTTACGGTCTTTCACTATTTTCTGAAAAGTCCCGTTTTACTATGAGACTATGGCATCACCATCACCATAAACTACTATAAAGAAGTTCAGTTGGAGAAAAGCCGTCGAAGAAAAGAAATGGTGGCGAATTGCACGTAAAACAGGTCGCGAAGGATAAGAAAAAATCTAATTAGAAAATTTAAAGATATGTAGTTTTCATAAAAAAACATCTAATCGGTAAATATGTAAACAAACTGTTTTTACAGAAGTGGTTTTCGTAAAGTTGAATTTCTTGTTAAATCATTAAAAAGCAAGACGCATCTGTGCAAAAATCCTATAAAATCTCTAAAAGAAATTTAAAGAGAGAAATCGCTTTTGATTAGGTGAGCCATCAAATATAAAAAAGAGAGGAAAATATATCCAATACGAAATTTGTTTATCGTAAGAAAAAAGCATTTTGGGCACCTTTTTAATCAAAAAGCAACCGAGTTTCTTCTTCAGCAAAAAACAAATCAATAAAAATTACAAACACAATTTTGTAAAACAAAAGAAACAAGGCTTCACATTTTTTTTTTTTTTTTGACAACTGGCTTATATACCTTCAACACCATACACAGCTGTACACATGCAGGTCAATCGATTCAATACACATACATATATATATGCAGTTTTGCCTTGCTCCACTCTATGAGTGTTTGTTTGCGTTTATCACGAAAGTAAGTAATTTTAAATTTTCGCGAGATGAGCTGCTGCTACGCAGTTAGTCTATGTTGCTGTAACTAAAAGATCAGGCGAAGCGTTTATTTTCTTTGTAGTGCATAAATCCTATATGACAATAATAGGACAAGAAATCCAAAAGGTATTTAGTTTATGATTATGGCTTAATAATAATAAGAATAAGCTTAAATTGCGAAGTTTTGTTTTGCTATTTTCTTTTGTTTTTATTATTTTAAGGATAACAAAGTATAGAGTATAACAACGTTCTCTCGTACGCTTCTTTTGTGTAAACGAATTGCTTATTAACTTATTTTTTGCTTGAACTACAATGTTTAGTGTTAACTAAATTCGTTCCTAAAATTGTGAATGCAAGTAGTTTCTAAAAATCTAAGCTGTATGTAATTTCTACAAAGCCATAATGCGTACCTTGTAAATTTTTCAAAAAAAGTGAGGAAGCAGTCTTAAAAAAGTCTATAAAATGTAATAGTACTTAGATTCGATATAGGCGCATGCACTTTCAATTCGCTAACCATTGTAAAGTCGTTCGTAAGACATTCACTACTATTTAAAAAAAGTATCACTTGTAAGCTTTGTGTATAGATATATGTATAAATCTATATATATATATATATATATAAATTTATATATCGAAATCGAAAGTGCATACATCGGACCCGTTTATTTTTACACTTTACGGACTTCTCTTAGACTTCTTTACCCCGTCTCCTAACATGTAACAAATTGTTTATCAATTATGCTACTTTGAAAGTTTGTTGATCAAGCGGACTTGTTTCTTAATTAACAAGAGACAAGTTATGCTCGGCATGGGGTGAATTAGCTTACTCCACCCAGCGTTATATAGCATATAACCATTTCAAGTCGATTTGAGAACACTTCTTCGTCACAAATTAAAACATTTTATTTTTATACTACGCCATATATTTTTACGGTTAATTGGAAATCTTGGGAGAAGCTACACGCATTTTTTTCGGCTTAATTGATCTTTTAACTCGACAAGTAAACTCCGTTTAGATAATGTGGGAAACATTTAAATATCAATTTACAGCAATAATCTCGAAACCATTTAATTTGAAGGTCCATTAATTTTTAGAAAGGACACATCAGTTTTGTATGATGATACCAATTAAATTAATTGTGATGATTTGCGAACTCAATCTCTTGAGGATGATAGCAAAATTTTTCAAACAATGTAACGAAATTGTAATTGTGACTTTAGCCGACAGTTGAATGGTAAATTCAAACAAGAGTAGATCGAGCCAATTTATCCCCCTACCCAGACTGTTCAAAGTTGTATATGAATGCTTCGCTTACCAAACCAATTAATTCCACCTTAATAATTTTTTCTTAAATTCGAATGTCAAAGCACTTGTTACACTCCTAAATAAATATTAACGATATTAATTGATAAACCTTTTTTTGGTCATTCAATAATAAATAATTTATTTCAGACAGTTTCATACTCTAATGTAAATCGCAATTAAAAAAACAGTTAAATAACTACGGAATTGGTTTTTAACCTCTAAAGTGTTATCTCTTTTTTCTTTTTTTGATTTTATAGAGTTAGTCGACTCGGCAAGTGAGGCATTTGCATACAATAGGGGGCCCGGCCCGGTAATCAAATACTTTAACAAGATTACTAAGCTTACTTGGCATCCACAAGCAAACGTCGTGAAATTACCCATACACCATACAATGTAATGCCATGATTCTTTATTTCCTTAATTCTACTGTCATTTGGAACAATGTGTCTCTAATGGTCTCTTTCTCCATTTCAAATGTTTGCACTTTTAAGTTGAGCGTAGACAATTTTTTCTCGACCTGGCAATCGAGTGGCTGGTTAAATAAAAACAAACAAAAAATGTGACATTTCGATATTAGGATGTTACAAGCGGTATGATAACTTACGTTGTCTAATAAAGTGAACAGTGGCAATGAGTTAAATGGTTGGAGCACGATTTGGAATATTTTTATATCCTTTCCTGCTCCAATATATATAAATTAGGGTGTATTCAGCCTGGCTTTCCTATATCATTGTTTTTTAAATGAGTTAATTGTATAGATATTCGAAATTTAACGGTTTTTCGTATTCTTTTCAATTTCTTTGCTTTCTACTTAATAAAACATATTTAATGACAACATAACCTTGTCAACTCAGCCCACGGACTTCACGTTATATGGTTATGCTGTTCAAGCAGAGTTTGAGACAATCGTCAGTGTACACCTACATTTCGCATGTCATGTCATAATGCTGTCAGCTTAAATAAAGAACAAATGTGCGTTTTTAATACAGCATTCTTTTAGAATGGCAAATGTTTGTTTGCCTTTTTGTCGCACCTTAGATTTTTTTAAGCTTTGATTTTTAAATCTTTATTCGTTTTTTGTTAAAAGAAAAATGCGTATTAAAGCTAATTAATTTAAGGGGAAAAGCTCAAACTCCTTCTTCAATGTATCTTCTTTTCTTGATTGCAGTGAAAGGAATAGGAAAAACTAGTTTGATTGGCAGCGTTCAAAGGTCAAGCAAAACAATTTGCGACAGAGAGAGAGAGAGAGAGAATTGCATCGTCGAATTTCATCAAATACAAGGAATTCTTGTATCAGTGTCATTAGTAAAATGGGTTCAGTTATGTCCCTGTGCCTGCTTTGTATTTAAGTTTATCCAAAGTTCAAAGCAAAATTTGTTCGTTTTGTCAATTTAAATTTAAATATTTGCTAAGTAGTTTTCCCTTTTGCCTGCGATAAGAATGAGTTTCGTGGTTAATTAAACTATTTCCAGCTGTTCATTACTTTTTAAGGCTCGATAACTAATACTCTATTACTTGTTTATAGCCTAAATTGAATACTTACGGTTGAAAGATTTGGTTTCCAAAGCATAGGTAAAACTTTCAAATGGATCAAGATTAGATCTAATGAACAAAATAGTTACCACCGTAGACAATCTGTCGATCATGAAAGCTATTCGAAATTTTTTAATTCCTAACTGGAACACCATTAACAAAATAGGGAGTACCCAAGCCATGTTGGGTGTTGATTCATAATAACTTCTTGGAAAGTGAGAAAGCTAACCTAACAGTCAGCTTTGCAGATAGGCGTTCAAAGATTTATTGCAAAAAAATTGACAGAGCTTCTATTCACATTACTTCATTATTAATTTCAATCTTGTTCCATAGCTGCATTCAAATGACGTTGAAAAAGCCCAAAACGTATAAGATTTAGCAATGGATTCCTGAAAAATGTTTTCCTCCAGACAAACGCATGCTTTGTGATTGTAGAAGTTTTCTCACAATTCGAAAAATACAAGACTCGCATTCGATACAACTAATCCTACGGAAATCTTGAAATTAACTTATTTGAACTGATATCAAGAAAAATATTCAATTTTTTTTGAAATGATCACTTTAATTAATTGGAGATATTAGTTTTACCTGCTATTTCTCATCTTACATTAATCCAAGAATTTATTTCCTTAATCCGCCTGAATGGCCGAAGGCGAGAAATCGCGACTCAACAACTCAGTGGTCGCGAGTTCGAATCTCAAGTACGGTAGAGTTTTTAATAAAAGCCGATAGATAGACTTAGATGCTAGTGCTTTTAAGAGTCCTAGAATTTTATATTATTTCCTTAATGTGAATGCAAATAAATAAATAACGAAAATTATGCGAATAATAATGAATGATACATTGTATTATAGGCTATCGCGGCTTGTCGCCTGTTAATGTTGGTAGAAAATTTGAACCTCTTTATTTATATATCTTCTTAATTCGTTTTAACAAGAAATTTGAAAAAATTCTTATCAATTACTTACCAATTACAGCGAACGTAAATGTGGCTTTCGATATTTTGGTCCCACTTTCACGCAATTTTTACATTATTTCCTTAGGTGCAAAATAAACAAAACTGCCTATAGGGATATTGAGCAAGTTTTAGTTTTTTAAACTTTTTACCGCAAATTTATTTTGGACAGTTTATGGGGGTTTCCTGATTTTATTATTACTATTATTTTTCTTTTTTTTTTTTCTTTTCCAATTTGTTATCGATTATTGCATAATATTGCTGCATTTAATGTAATGCATAATAAATGAAAATAATAAGAGTGAAATATTA